ATATATTTACTTGAAATCCACCGGAGTTTGAAATGAGTACACAAGCATCTAACAGCATACTTCTCAGTTTTTTCAGAACATTTGTTTTTCCACAATAACTTATTTACCAAAGGTTAATAGCTGGAATTCAGTCTGGTATAGTACCACTCACTACAGGTGCTATCAAAACTATTGGGGAAGATTTAGAAGTTTTAGATATGGTTCCTGACCTTCAGACATTTATTATTTCATTTAGAAAAAAAGTCCAACACTCATGAAACTAATACTAATATCAGCAGTATGTGAGTAAATATCAACATGAATGGTGTACATAGAAAAGGAGAAAAAGAAGTCAAAGGAGAACATAAACATTATGTGCTGGAATGGTCAGGGAAGTCATGTGGAAATTTTATTTGAGATGCTTACTGAAGTGTTAAGAGAGGAAAAGAAGGAGAAAGACATTTCTAGAGGAGGAGAATACACAAGCAAAGATTCCCAGGTAGAAAAGAACATGAGTAAATCAAAGAACAATGAGAAGAAGTACAAAAACGAATTCTGAGAAATGAACTTGGAAAAGTCTGTGAATCCACCACACAGAAATCTGGAATCTTAAGCACAGAAGTGTAAATCTGATCTTGTAAGCAATTTAGAGCCATTGAATAATTCTGAGCAAAGACGTAGCATGACCAAATGGTGGCTGAGAAAGAATCACCTAGCAGTGGTATTCACAAAAAGCAATATGGAAATAAAAATTTTCTGGCGGACCCCTTTTGCAAGACTCTAGGCTAGGCATTTCATGTATTATAGTATTTATCTTCACAACAGCTCTATAAGGTAGTTATCATCTTCCCTCTGACAGACTAGGAAATTATTATGGTAGAGAGAAATCCTCAAACCTAAATACTTTCAAACAGGTAACTTAAATGCATGACATGGCCTCACTGAGACAATAGGAGGTTATACTTGTATATTACTGGTGGGAATGTAATGCGGTTCAGCCACTGTGGAAAAGTTTGGTGGTTCTGCAAAAAGTTAAACACAGAACTACCAAAAGACCCTATAATTACACTCCTAAGTGTACACCTCTCAAAATTATAATCAGATCCTCAAATAAGTACATGTGTATGCATGCTCACAGCTACACTATTCACAATAGCCAAAAGGCAGAAAAAAACCAAAATTCCATCAATATATGAATGGATAACAAATGGCATAAATACGTAACAATGGATATTATTCAGCCATAAAAAGGAATAAAATACTAACACATGCTACAATGTAACCATACCTCCAAAATATTATGCTAAATGAAAGAGGTTAGTTATACAAGGTTACACATTGTATGACTCCATTGATAAATATGCAGAATGGATAAATCCATACAGACAGAGGGTGGACAGGTGGTTACCAGGAGCTATGGGTCAGGAAAATGGAGAGAAACGAGCTTAATAGGTGAGGGGTTTTACTTTGGAAATGTTTTGAAACTAGACAGAGGTGGCAGTTATGTAGCACTGTGAATGTTATTTAATGACACTAAATTGTTCGATATAAACAATTATGATTAATTTTACATTATTTGAATTTCACCTCAATTACTTTTAAAAAGTAGAGAAATACAGTGAACTAGAAAATATACACATCTGTTATATTCCATTAAAAAAGACAAACTTCTGTTTTGGCTAAATAATGAACATCAAACGACTGAAGGACAGAATGAGTGAGTAAAAGGAGAAAGCTTAGAACTCTTTCACTATTCAGCACCCTCTCTGGAGAAGTAAAGGAATTGAAGCAAGAGACCAATTAGGAGGTAACAGATTAAACTTTGGGTGGAATGTTCGGTCTAGACTAAGGAGCTGGCGAAAGATAATAGAAGGATTACTATAAAAAATATTTCAAAATAAGAGTACCAATTCTAGGTTGCCTATAAAGAAGTCAAGGATAAACATTTCAAAGTTTTGAATCTGAATGAATGGAAGAATGGTAAAAGAATTTTTAAAAAAGAAAGAATTCATGGCCAACAGCATTTTTAATTGGATTTACTCAATATCAGAATAAAACATTAGCCGAAGTTATAACTGAAAGATTCAGACTTACAAAATTACATAGCTTTACAAGCTTCTGTGTCCTATTGCATTTGGGAAGAAAACAAACAAACAAACAAACATGAGATATAACCTTAAATTCACATCACCTTCAAATTAAAAGTTAAACAAGAGCCATGAGATTTCATTTCAATTTCAATTTGGCAATGAACATGAAAGTCGAAAGATTTAGCATAGCAAAGTGTAAAAGTGTTAACAGTTTAGTACGTACAAAATATGATCACAAATACAATAAAATCTCTCATTTCAAATTCATGTTTGATACAATATACATGACACCCATACAGTTATATTTTGCTTAATGTTACTTTACTCACATTTAGAATCATACCACTAACAATCATTGCCAAAAGTTCTAAACATATTTTAATTCCAAACCAATAGCATTATTAACATTTATTAATAAATCAGTAACAATGCAATGGTTATATATAAAAGTTTCTTCTGGGACACACAGTAAAAGACAGTGTAATTGGCAAGATTTATAAATATGATTCCCCTCTACCAGATTATGGTAATTATAAGGCTGAAATAAATCTTGCCTCAAGAATCTAGCATACAGCCTTAGGTTTTTCCCCATATCTAATTTTAAAGCCTCAAAGTTGAGGGTGTTTTCCCTGGGAACTCAAGTAAACTCCAATGAGACAGAATGGGAACTACCAGACCTTTCTATCCAGCTACCTCAGACTTTGGACTAGGCTAGACTTTAACCACAAGCCTTACCAGACAGAGCTCAAGTTCTTATTCCCCCTACTTTATTTTGCTTATTTGTTTATTGTTAATAATACAATGAGCACCTTGATTCATCACTGAAACAGAGATCTAGAACCTTGACAGTAAGTCATACATTTGCTTAGTGTCCCTCTATCCATCTACTTCCCCTTCCAGGGCCACAAGTTTTCATTAATAATAGTACTGGATGTTTTTCAAAGGGTATAATATGTATTTCATGTTATACAAGCAATATAGTCATGGAACTGGCATCCAAAAGCGAAATTTGGTAAAATGGTTTCTTAACTAGTGACAATGAAAAGTAGCACAATCTTTTTGTAAAATAATTTAGGAAAAATGTATTAAAAGTCACTCTAAATATTAACACCCACTAACCTCAATTCTATGCCAATCAATCCAAAAAAAAATCTAGCATATGAAAAACACAACTTGTAACAGGATGTGCATCACAATGTTACTGATAATTAGGAAAAGCTAGAGACAGCATATTCAATAAGAAGAAAATGATGACATAAATAATGCTACATCTAGGTAAGGTCTGTCCTTTGCTTATGGGGACAATGTAAGTTTTTTTTTATTTGAAAATTGACATAATATTTTGAATGTTTGTCAAATTCACTGAACCTTACTCTTTATCCTTAACAGAATTTAGAATGTTAAATTTAAAAATGATGGGTGACCGCTGGGACCAATATAAGCAAGTTATACACTATAAAGTTTGGATTGTCAGATCTATTTTATAACACGCTTCAAAGTCATACTAAAAGATAAAGAAAACTGTGTAACACTAAAAAATAAAATTCTTTACAGTTGTATTAATAGAAATAAATATTTTCTGGACTAAGCACCATAAATATTTTCCTTTAAACCAAGAGCTTGTCAGTATTCAAGTTATAAACTGGAAATATTTTTTCAAAGCAAAATGCCACTAAAGAATGAATATATATAATATAAATAACAGAGAATCATATTAATTAGCTTTATTAGAGTCAAAATTTGAAAAACCCAACAGCAATCAGCATTTAAGTAAATCATGTTTTCTACATAAAGATAAAATGAGTAGGATTAATACATAAAATATAAGTGACTTAAAGTAATAAGAAGCAGTATAGAGGTTCACAGTCAAAACATTTATTAATTTTTAATCCCTATATGATAAGTTACTTCAATTAGTGATTTATGAAGCTACTATATCATTTATCCTGGAGTTCCAAATCTTTATACTATGGACACTTAGAGTGGGAATAAAAGGAACTTATGCAAGAAATCCTTGAAGTAGTGTGTATATATGTATTTTCTCAATTAATGAATATTAAAAATATAACTATTACCATTTGGAAGTCTGAAATTACTTTGGTATTAAAATAGAAGTCTCACTTTCCAATTAGAAATTATGAACTCTTTACAGATCTTTAAAAAGTAAATAATTTTAAGAGATATGTACAACTTTGGTGGTATTATTCTAACCTTACCTTGTGCTTGATCTTGACAACTTATTATTTGAATGCTATATATATTTTTTGAAAAGCACATTAAAATTCAGAGTAAAATACCAGTTACTTGGAAAAGATAACATGGATTCTTTATATTTTTAAAAACATAAAGTATCTAATGTCTACATGAATCTGGGTACCATAACCTAAAAATCAAAGTCTAAGCATTATTGTGCAATTGAGATATTAAAACATAGGATTTTAAGATTAGATGGTATCCAGAACAAGCAGTCCAATGAGTTAACCCAATGTAAGTGGAGGAATTATTAAACCACATTCATCTCACTTCCTTTAGCATAATGAAAATCTTCACCTAGAACTCATGATTATGAAAATAAAATAAAAAATTAAAATTAAATCAAAACAGATTACAGTCCTGAACATAAAAATGTAAAAGTATAAACATTTTCTTTAAGATGCACCAAAAGCACAGTCCATAAAAGACAAAAGTCAATAGTGGACTTCATGAAAATTATAACTAAAATCGAAGGCAATTTTATAAATAAGAAGGTAAATGACCTTTTAACATTATACTATAGCAATAAATATTTGAAGTAAAATATGTCCATATTCAGATATCATAAACTTGTGAGACTATAAGAAAATAGGTGTTTTCCTCTTCAACCCACCTGTAAGAATGCTAGACTTATTTCACATTTTTTTCATTTAAATAAACTTAATTATTAATACTCACCAGCAGCTTCCAGAACCAGCTGTAGTCTGGCTTTGGCCTGTTCAGCTGGTGGCTAAAAATCAACCACAAAGACATTTACAAGTCAGTTTTAATAGATGGAGCTTATAAATTAATGCATTGTTACATGAGTATCAGAAAATTAAGAGAACTTTATCATAATCAGTATTAATATCCATTCACATCTTAACAAAATTCCATCACAGCAGCTCTACCAATCTATTCTCTCACCTTAGTTCTCAAATCACACTTTTCATTATTATGATGCAAGAATGAAATTCTTCCATTTTTTTTTTTTTTACTGGAATAGGTTTTGTTTACTACCCAACATGTACCAATCAGCAACAACCTAAATAACTGCAATTTAAAAATGAAACAAAACCCACACATTTATCAACATATTCTCAGGTTGGGTAATTTCTTGCTATATGGAAACATGCAAAATGGCCTATTAGAATTTTAATAGCAATTTAAAGTACAATACCTCAGGCAAATCATATCCTAAAACCAAATATTTTCTCTTTTCCTTACGGTACTTGAAAGGAGCAATTGTGATGAAGATAGGACACAATGTGAGTTACTGCTTTCAATTTCTACTACTGCTCTAAAATTGTTCTCTCAATGAACATTGATTCCATACAGTAAATAATGTTGAAGCTACTTTCGTATCAGTGACCTTATTCTGAGATTTTTGGATAACGTGTTGATGGTATCCAAACTATAACATGGATTGTACCAAGGTTATGATTTTTATGAAGACCTGTTAAAAACTTTTTAATACTTAAGACTTTACTTCAATATTGTAGAATAGATAAACAAGATTATACGGTATAGCACAGGGAAATATACACAAGATCTTATGGTAGCTCACAGACAAAAAAATGTGACAATGAATATATGTATGTTCATGTATAACTGAAAAATTGTGCTCTACACTGGAATTTGACACAACATTGTAAAACGATTATAAATCAATAAAAATGTTAAAAAAACAAAAAAAAGACTTTACTTCACAATGCATTTATAAATATGTCAGCAAGTGACTACATAACCTCATGTTTATATATATGATACCATCATTTGAGAATTAACATTCGTAAGACATATTTGAGTATTTTGCTATTTGCAAAAAAAAAACAGCCTGCATGAAAAGAATTACATAACTGGATAAAGAAAGAAGATGTTGTACTCAGAAAAGACTAAGAATTTGAATGGTGTTGTTGAATAAACTGTAAGAAACAGGATGAGAAAGTGGCAGATAAGATGGGAAGGAGGACAAGGATAGTCTTTTATATCACAGAAGAGGGGTTTAAAGAAACAGTGGCATTGTAAGATTTCCTGAAACACAGCCATGCACATTTGTTTATATTTGTCCAATGGTTGTTTCTGTGCTCAGCTCAACAACAGCAGTCAATTATTCGTGGCAGGAAACTTATGGGCAACAAAGCCTAAAATATTTAGTAACTGGATCTTTAAAGAAGTTTCCTGACCTCTGCCACAGAAGATGGAGAGACTTGAAGAATATGAAACAGTGGGGTGATGAGACAAGATCTGCACTCTGTACATCATTAAAGCAATAAACCTGAGGATGAACTGAAAAGAACGTGACAGGAGGAAGGCAAGGAGCTCAGTTAGGGAGCAATTAAAGAATTCCAGGTGACAGATGATGAGGGCCTGGGGTGGAGCAGGAACTCTAAATCTGAACAGGAAGAACTAGATCGGAGAAATATTTGATCAGTAAAATGAAAGGATTGATTGGATATGAGAGAAAGAGGAGTTGACAAACAAAAAGAATACTTTATGTATATGCTTGTAGAGAAGGTGTACATACATGTGCTTTATAAAGTTATAAATATTAAAATATGTAACAAAATTAACATATCATAGCAAAATATCAATAGAACACTGTGACATTTACTGAATCTGATTTCTATAACAGTTATAAACTAAACTGTCTATAGGAGCCAAGTAATTAAACACTTATAATGATGAAAGGCAAATGACATTTGATATCAGTATCAGGAAGCACAGTGAGTGTGCAGAACTGTGCAGCACATGGCCCAGCTAAAGGAAGCAGCTGGTACCAGTCACCAACTCACTGTTGTCATGTAGAAATGAAAGCCTTGATTTTTCTTGAGACGTTCAGTAACCATCAAGACCAATACTTTGTGGAACAAACAGTACTTCTGACAGCCAGATTCAATCCTGAGACAGATCATTTGTGATCTCTGCCATCTACTTACCAGACACAGTAGAAACACCATACTTAGTGTAATATAACATAACTAGAATGGTAAGAAGGAAATGATGTTCTGATTGGCAGGTCCCAAGCAAGCTCAGAATTATAAAGCATACATTTCAGAATATCTTAATAAGCAGTATCCTTTGATAGAAGAGTGTTAGACACTTCATTAGTTAAGATAGTTCACAGTAAAGTTATAGGTATTTCATAAAAAAAGATTATTTTTAACAATTAAGAAATATTTAAAACAAATAGACAAAATGATGAGCACCCATATCCAGTGAAATATTAACAATACTGGTAAAACCTCCCACCCCACAAAATCCCCCTCCATAGCAGCTCCCTGTCTCCCCAAGTTATAACCACTATCTTGAAAATATGGTGATTACCATTTCTAAAGAAGAAGTATTGATAGTTGATGTTTATAAAAAAACACCTGTTAAGACATACTTACATTTTATTAATTCTTCTAACAATCTATAATATAGGACTAATATTTCAAAGATAAAGAAAACTAGGGTATAAGAGCAGTTTACTAACTTGCTTCTACTAGTAAGTGACAGACTGAAATTAAGACCTTCTCACTTCAACATCCAGATGGCCAATAGCCACATGAAAAGATGCTCAATATTGCTAATTTCAAATCAAAACTACAATGAGGTAGGTATCACTTCACACCAGTCAGAATGGCTACCATTGAAAACTCCACAAACAATAAATGAGGCCACTACAGAAAACAATATGAAGATCCCTTTAAAAATTAAAAATAGGTTTAACATATGATCCAGCAATCCCACTCTTGGGCATATATCTGGAAGAAACTCTAATTTAAAAAGATACATGCACCCCAGTGTTTATAGCAGTACTATTTACAATAGCGAAGACATGGAAGCAATCTAAATGTCAACTAACAGATGACTAGATAAAGAAATTGTGTGCATGTAGTGGAATACTACTCAGTCATAAAAAAGAATGAAATAATGCCTTTGCAGCTACATGGATGGACCTAGAGATTATAATATTAAGTCAAGTAAGTCAGACAAAGACATCACATATCTGCAATCTAAATATAATATCACTTACATGTGAAATCTTAAAAAATGACACAAATGAACTTATTTACAAAACAGAAATAGACTCACATAGAAAACAAACATAGTAACGAAAGAGGAAAGGGGAGGAGGGAAAAATTAGGAGTTTGGAACTAGCAGATATAAACTACTATATATAAAATAGATAAACAATAAGGTCCTACTGTATAGCACAGGGGACTATATTCAGTAGCTAATAATAACCTATAATAATTTTATTTAGATATATATATATATATATATAAATACATATATATTCAGATATATATATCTCTCTGAATCTCTAGCTATATACCAGAAACTAACACAACACTGTAAATCAACTATGCTTCAATTAAACAAGCAAAAAAAGACGTGGTGACTTCAAATCTTTGGATCCTTCCAACTAAATTACTAGGATATTCATGAAGACAAAGCAATTAGTTCACAGATAAAAAGCATAAGGATAGGTTTCTGATTCTGTTAAAAAAAAATCTGTCCAAGACAGTATATTTGCCTATACAAATATAACTTGCTAAATTTTATTTACAAAATGTGGAGATCAATTCCAACTATGGGGATAAATATATTGTTAGATTTGCCAGACCTTTAAAAGTAACTTGCCTTTTATAAATATTTTTACTCTTAAAATATTTGATTCAATGCTCAAGCATCTTTCTTGGATAGGGTATTCAGATGTGAATGTTCTCTGACTTGTTATCCATCTGCAAACATCTTTCTTTTACCATACCTGTTGAATAATTTGAATGGATAGGGGATTCTTGGTTGCAGTCTTTTTCTATCAGTCACCTACCCTTTAAATCCTTTACAAGTGCTCCTCTACAATGTTTCAGCCTTGAGTTTGACCCAGAAGAGGGAAAGAATATATATACACATAGTATATACAATAGGTCTCTTGGCTGAAACCTCCCAGGTCCCACGTGCCTATCTGCATCAGTAGCTGCCTGACTCAGAAAAAGTAGATCAGTTGGAGCTGGAAAGGGAGAGGAGGCAGTCTGATTTATGTTGCCATCATTCTGATTGCTATTTATAGTTACATTTTAAGGAAAGATTAAGAAGAAAGAAGATGCAGAATATAGAGATAAAGAACATTTTATACTAATCCATTTTTAGTTAGGTATCATTATGACTTAGAATGAAAATACTCTTGGGGCTTGAGTGCCAATATTTTTAATATTTTAGTTATTTTAGAGTGTACTAGACTCCAGGGATTAGTATGAATTCCATCTAAAATTAGTAAAAGGTACTAATGTTATTTAAACCAGAAAATAAACTTTATTCAATAAATAAGAAACTATTATCAAATATAAATGCATGGATTATAGCAATTTCTCAACAGAAGAATTATAAAATGAGGACATATTTAAGAGCACAATGTCACAATTATATTGTATGAAGTGAACTTATGGAGAAAAATTATATTCCATTAAAAATAATATTCCTTACATGAAAATTAGTAATACATAATTAGATAAACAAGTATTACTGAAACTGAATTACAGAGAATATAAATGTTGTTCCCTTAAAAATACTATCATTGACATTAACGGAAAAGTAAAATAGTACGAATTTTTACTATAAATTTTTATATCATATAGGGCTTAAATTTTTTAAACTAATAGGGGTCCCTTGTTGGGGAGAAAGGGGTTTGTAGTCTTTCTATTGCCATGGATTCTACAGAACTGCCCTCCTCCCTTCCTTCCCTTTGGCAGCCAAGTATAC